TCAATTCAGCGATGCACTGTTACTAAGACGCTATGGTGCAGGGTTTCATCTGTGGAGCCATTATCGAAGCGAGTTGAAGTCACCTTGAAGTCATTGAACGCAAGCAGTGTGCCAAAGTTTGGAAGTGATAATTTGGATAGCTTGCATGTTGGAGATATTATCTCTGGCAGGGTAAAAAGGATGGAGTCATATGGTTTATTCATCACGATTGACAACACAAATGTGGTAATGGATGAGTCACATCAAGCAAAGTTCACTTTTTATATCTATTTATATGTCTCTGTGTGTCATTTGCCCAATGTTTTTCCTCAATGACTACATATATGGATTTTGATATCATTCCATTTTCTGTTTAAGCATCCTTTGATGAGCAATGTATGCTTGCAAATTTAAAAATAGAAAGCAAAGTTCTTTGTAATAAATTTCTCTCTTTTGTTATACATGTGGGAATGCATTTATAATTCGTGTACCTCTTTTCATTGAAAGGATTTCATGTTTTTTTTTTTTTTTTTGTGCTTAGGTTGGACTATGCCATGTGTCGGAGCTTTCAGAAGATAAACTTGACAATATTGAAACTAAATACAAAACAGGAGAGAGGGTGACAGCAAAAGTATTGAAGGTATTGTTTATCTATTATGGTTGTGAAAATTCCTACTCTTGGACAGTTGTTTTTTTATCTTTTTATAATTTATGCGATCTTTTTAACTACATAACACTGAGCTTATGAGAACATTTATATGAAAATACTTTTACCTCTATCTGAGGTAATTTCACATTGTGTTTTTGGTTCACTCTGTTTCTGTTTACACATTACCTTAAATAAAAAATTGTTTTGCTCCCCAGAAGAAAAGTGTGTTGTCATAAATAATTGTTCTGTTTACACATTTCATTAACTATAACGTTATGCATTCATGACAACTGTAGAGTTAATTATTCAACTTCTTTTATCAGGTGGACAAAGAGAGGCACCGAGTTTCTCTTGGGATGAAGGATGTTTATATTATGGACAATGATGACCTTGAGATGCCCTCAGAACAAGATCCTGATGAAACCATTGTGGAGAATGTTCTTACGGATGTTACTATGTCAGAAGTATGTCCTGAAAGCATTTCATTTTTTACCCAGGACATGGATGTCAATAGTAAAAATGCAGAATCCCAAATTCTTGCACAAGTAGAATCTAGAGCTTTTGTTCCTCCGCTTGAAGTCACTCTTGATGACATAGACCAATTCGACGGTGAAGATAAAGAGCATCTTGATGTAGGCACTGTCAATGAAAAGAAAATGCAGCCGACAAAGAAAAAAGCTAAGGAAGAGAGGTTGGGTTTTTATTTGTGTGTTTCCCTTTTCCTTATTTTCTAAGGCTGTCAACACACTCCTCACTTACCCTTCTGGTTCTAATTGGAAACAATTTTTTTCAGGGAGCGCGAGATAAGGTCTGCCGAGGAAAGACTATTGGCAAATGATATACCCAGAACTGATGAGGAATATGAGAAACTAGTTAGAACTTCTCCAAATAGCAGTTTTGTCTGGATAAAATATATGGAATTTGTGCTCTCTACATCTAATGTTGAGAAGGCACGCTCAATTGCTGAAAGGTACTCTTTGCAAAAAACACGCATTGCTTATATGCTAATGGGACAGTCATGTTTCTGGAATAATCATAAAAATATTGCATGCTACTTGACCTGATATTTGGATAATTAATCTAGTTATGTAGTTTGCTATAGGGTTTGAAAACCTGTGTTTCGGGTACGGAACAAGAGGTTTCTGGTATGCTTAAAAGAAGTTTTGTAAAATAAGATTGTCATAGATGCTAAACTTGTTTGAACGAACTATTGTAGGCACTTATAACTGAACCAAAAGTTCCTGGTATATTTGGTGCTTATAACATTTGCTCTTAGTTCTTTAATGTGTGTCTGAGACACTGCGTGTAGATATGTGCTGCTTATAATAATCCATGTTTACATAATTAAGCTTGAAGGATTCTCTTTTCTCTCTGAAGGGCTCTGGCAACAATAAAGTTGGACAAAGAGACTGAGAAGGAGAAACTCAATGTTTGGGTGGCTTATTTCAATTTGGAAAACAAATACGGAAGTCCTCCAGAGGTAATAAAGTAGTAAAAGCAATCCTCGTCTTTCTTATGTGGATATGAAGCCCTTTAACCTGCTTTTTTTTTTTCCTTCAGGAAGCTGTAAAGAAAGTCTTTCAAAGAGCAGTACAGTGTAATGATTCCAAAACAGTTCATTTAGCACTTTTAGGACTGTATGAAAGGACTGAGCAACACAGGTTGGCTGATGAGCTACTTGACAAAATGACAAAGAAGTTCAAGACTTCCTGCAAGGTAGTGATTTCCTACATTTTTGTTCTCCTATATGGGTATATGCGTGTGTGTGTAAAGGTTCAAAGGCTCTTTTGATGTATAAACAGTATATTGATACTGAATGGACTTGTAGGTTTGGCTAAGGCGGGTAAAGCTGCTCTTAATGCGACAGCAGGATGGGATTCAGGATGTTCTCAGTCGTGCTGAGAAAGTCCTTCCTAAGCATAAGCTTATCAAATTCAATTCCCAGACAGCTATCCTTGAGTTTAAATGTGGAGAACCCGAGAGAGGACGATCCATGTTTGAGAATATTTTGCGGAATTACCCTAAGAGAACAGACTTGTGGAGCGTCTACCTTGATCAAGTAAATGCCCGTTTTCTAGCACTTAAGTATTATTTCATTTGTTGTGTCAAATTCAAGGCGGTAATTTACACTCTTTTGTACCACCGTGGCAGGAAATTCGACTTGGAAATAGCGATCTGATTCATGCACTATTTGAGAGGGCAACTAGTTTGAGCCTCCCGGCAAAAAAGATGAAGGTGTGTACAATTATATTCCCCTTTAACTGAGAATGTTTTGACTTTGTCTCCTGTTAGAGTTTATATGGGTGCTTCATTTCTGGATTTGCAGTTCTTATTTAAAAAGTATCTGGCGTATGAGAAGTCGCAAGGCGATGAAGAAAAGATCGAGTATGTGAAACGGAAGGCAATGGAGTATGTGGAGAATACAGTAGCTTGATATCAATTGTTCCTCTTACTCAGAATGCTAACCAAATTTTCTGTTGGCCGTGTACACGAGAGATGGGGGATGGCCGATTTATTGTCATCGTGACGATCATAGTTCGCCCAACTTGCAATGTCGTTTCAGCTCAATGCGGAGGCTACATGGCAGGATGTAGAAGGGTACCATGGATGAAGCATTGAGAGATTTGAAGACTTATTGTCCCAACGTTGTAAGAAATAACTGACAACTATGTAAGATTTACGTTGGAAAGATTTTGGCGCTCTTGTTTTTTGTTGAAACTGAAACTTATCATTTTTGTTACCGGTGGCGGAGTTTTGATCTCAATTGTAACCCTTGGGAATTGTAAGTTAATAGAATTCTTCGGTTGAGAGTTTTCTAGTGAATCTGTCTGTGTTTTTGTTTTCACCCCTTTGTTTTTGGTAAGAAGATTCAATATCCGACAATTATACTAACATAATTCTTCAATTGAGTAGTTTTTTAGATTTCATACAACCGACTCATTTAGTGAGAGAAGACTTTGCTGTTGTTGTATTGATAATTGCTAAGTTGGCGATGTAACTCTAATAACAAAATGCATATCTTTTTGAAAACCTTAGTTTAATGAGAAGACTTAGTAGGCAATAAATTTCCCATGCCGAATCTTCTTCACAAAACTGATGAGGTTTTCGAAAGTTCACAGTATCAAGAAGTAGCATTTGTAAGAACTGTTTCTCACAAATGCTTATAAGTAGAAGAGCTATTTGATAATAATGGAGAGGATTTTTTCTAAAATAATGGATAATAGAGAGTTTTAGGATTCGTTTGAAAGTTGTCTTTAAAATTGCTGAAGGTGGTTTTAGTGAAAATGTTTTAGGGATCAATCTATAGTAAAAATGCAAGTGAATCACTTGAGTGCTTCTTACAAGAAACACATAATTGATGTTGCTTGCAAGAAGCACTTCTGATGCTTTTGGAACTTAAAAAACAATTTATGAAAAAGTGCTTCAATCATTTAAAAGTGGTTCTAAGCGAGCTCTTAGTCCTTGAGAGAATAAGGTGGAAGTGGTTTTGTGAATCTTCACTCATCAAAAGTAGGTTTGGCAGATGCATGTTGGGCTAGCTGGTTAGGGCAGTATACTTCTACTCTCTTGCACTAGAGTTTGAATTCCTCCTCGTTACATGTTAGGGAAATAATTAATAGGAATTATTTGGTAGCAGTGATGATATGTAGACACACATGGGACCACAAACTTCTCCTATTTTAGCTAATATCAGATGATCACACGTGTTCTACTGAGGCAAATCCGTTATTTTGATGTGCGAGCTGAAAAAAAAGAAAAGAAAAGAGAAACAGTAAATTGGGGGCAAAATCATCAATCCACTGCATGAACAGTGTTTTTAGCACTAGGTTTTAGGAATAGAATAATTTATGAGCTATTTACAACTTGGGTAGTGCTAATAACACATTCATTTTTACTTCTCACACACTCTTTTCAATTTACGGTCATCGGATCAAATGAATTAAAGAAGATCAATGACTAAAAATTAACAAATGTGTGTTGGAGGTAAAAATAGATGTGTGAATAATACTATCCTACAACTTCTGAAGTAAAAGAGAAAAACAATATGGTATATTTCTAGTGAAGCAACAAATTACAATAAAAATGGTACTCCCACATAAAACCAAAAAATAAGTTGCTTTAAAGCAGTGCCAAAGCTTTAACCAAATACATAATACATCAGGCCCTTTAAGGGATCCCCATTTTTTGAAATTAGTTGTAGAACCCACTCCACATCGAACTTCAATAATCCGAACCATTTATTTTGTAATTCTTGTTTCATAGATCATCCTTACAAAAATTCAATTCAATCCGAAACCATTTGCCTGTTTAATTATCAAGATAAAATTTCATTGTTTCTTATATAACAAAGTAATCGTTAATTTCCTTGAACTCAATTAGATGTCTTAAACATTTCCGATTTGGCTAATACTTTGCAAGGATAATTTATGATATACAACTTGAAAAATAGACGGTTCAGATTGTTAAAGTTTGATATAGTGCGAACTCTACAACTAATTCCTATTTTTATAAAAAAAATACGGATCCCTTCTCTTAAACCTTTTCTATGTATGCATATCTGTTTGATGTGAAGTTTTTGGAGAACTTTTAAGAGCAGAAGGTAAGCTGTCAACTGAGGAAAATGGCCTTCTGTGTTTAGGATCTTGACTTCTGCAGGACCACCAAGCTTCTTCTTCATGTAAAATGCAACCGATTTCGGAACGATAAAATCTTTTCTGGACTGGATTATGCTATTAGGAACAATAATTTGTGGCAAAATTCTTCTGAGGTCGCTCAGAAACACAACTCTAGCTGCCCTTACAGCAATCCTAGGGTTCATTCTTCCCAAGCTGTTTTCGAACTCGGTGATCGCACTTGTGTCGTTTACACCTATTGGTGTTGGGGAAAAACTTGGAACCCAACTTGTGAAGTTGTTCCCTATTTGGTTGAAGAGCGCATCCAGTTGTGGTCTGGTGAAGCCTCCGGTGTATGCTGTGGTGTTGAGGTACCTACAGGCAAAATAAACGTAAAACTAATTGTTGGGTGTCGACACAATGTGGTATTGTTTACCTGTATCATGTTTACTGGTCACATATTACGCAAGAGAGAAAGTTAAGATTTATTTGTGTATAATATGGTTAATACGAGGAATTAAACTGAAAAAGGAAAAAGAAATATGTTGAAGTAATTAGAGTAACAAATGACGGGGACAAATATAGTATGAGAGATTAGTACATGGTTGGTACAGTCCAGCGTACAAAAGGAACTCAACTGTCCAAAAGACACTGGCAAGAAAATAATGATTATCGTACATGTACAAGTATGGTAATGTTTTTTTTTGTCTACTTACTATATTACTATATATTTATTATTGTGAAATTGTGAATATGAACTTTATATTTATATTTATGTAAGAATAAACTTAATCATCAGTACTTTATAAGCAGAATCCGAAGCCATAGAGGTTCACAAATACCATATGCCATGCCCCTGTATTCGGCCTCCGCCGACGATCTTGCAATCACATTCTGTTTCTTACTTCTCCAGGTCACAAGATTACTGGCAACAAACGTAAAATAACCTGATGTAGACCGCTTATCAGTAATATTTCCAGCCTAATTTGCATCAGTATATCCTCTAACATCCATGTGTCCATGCTTTCTATACATTAACCCTTTTCCAGGAGCCCCTTTCAAGTAACTGAGAATCTGCATTACTGCCGCCATGTGATCTTCACTAGGTGCATGCATGAACTGACTTACTACGCTTATCGCATAAGCAATATCAGGTCGTGTAAGTGACAAGGAAATCAATCTTCCAACTAACCGTTGATACCTTTCTTTATTTGTTGGTACTTGATCTTGATAGATCGCAAGATGATGATTCTGCACAATCGAGGTATCCGTCGGTTTACATGCCAACATCCCAGTTTTTGATAACAAGTCTAACACATACTTACGTTGTGATAAGTATACGTCTTCTCGAGACCTAGCAACTTCAATTCCTAAGAAGTATTTGAGTCCCCCTAGATTTTTCATCTCGAACTCGAAGGACAGGTACCCCTGTAGCCGTTCAATCTCCTTTGTATCATCCCCTGTGACAATCATATCATCCACATATATAATGAGTAAGGTCACTTTATCATCCTTATGCTTAATGAACAAAGTATGATCTGAATTCCCTTGTTGGTATCCATACTTCTTCATAGCTTGAATGAATTGCCCAAACCAAGCTCTCGGCGACTGTTTCAAACCATACAATGCCTTCCGAAGTCTACAGACTTTTCCACTAGAGTTCTCAATGCCATATCCTAGTGGAAAATCCATATAAACCTCTTCCTCTAAATCCCCGTGCAAAATGCATTTTTCACATCAAACTGTCTCAGAGGCCAATCAAGGTTAGCATCAAGAGATGACAAAACTCTGATAGTATTCATTTTTGCAACCGGTGCAAATGTTTCCTCCAACACCAAAGGTTTGTATATAACCTTTGGTTAGTAACCTCGCCTTGTATCTATCGATCGTCCTATCCGCCTTATGTTTGATAGTAAACACCCATTTGCATCCCACCGATTTCTTTCCTTTGGGCAGTGTAACCACACTCCACATTTTGTTCTTCTGTAACGCCTCCATCTCCATTTGCATTGCCTTTGTCCACTTTGGATTTCTCAAGGCTTCTTCCACCTTGGTAGGTATTTTAATCGTTTCCATTTGTTGGACGAGTGCACAATATTTTGGCAAGAGTCGATGAGTAGAGACATAGTTAGTGATTGAATACCGCACCTTCCCTTATGGAGAGTACCTGTCTGGTGGCTTTCCTCAATTTTGACTAGGAGGTAACACATAAAGTGATTTAACAATTTCAAGGTGAATATTTACCTCGGGAATATCCATTGGACCATGAATAAGTACTTGAGGAGTTTAAAGGGGGGGTGATGTTGTCAGGCTCACTGGAGTCAATGCCTTCGACCTTATATGTTTAGACGAATCCTTTCGTTTGATGAACCCTATCTTCAATCAAGTTCCAGCGACAATATCGCTTTTCTTAAGTCCCTTTTGAATGATTTGACCATAAAATTCCTCTTGGCCTCAACATGTCTACTCAAGCTCACACCTTCATTCTACCATATGGAAGTAACAAGCCTATGTGAAATGTTGGCTTCATTATGTAGAGCTGGCCCGCTCGGGCACTCGGTGGTGCAATGTTCATTTGGCCCATTTGGCATTGCTGTCTTGGTTTGATCACGCAGCCCACTTGGGCTTACACCTGTGGCATTTTCACGCCCTAATGGCTTTCACAGTTGTTACTTGTAGCTTTAGTACCATGCCCAGATGGGCCTTCACGGCTGCCACTTGCAGCATAATCATCATGCCCAGATGGGCTTTGAGGGCTACCTTGTTCCCGCCCACTTGGGCTTTTATTGCTGCCACTTTCAATGCAGCCATCTATTTTATCAAAGATAACAAGGCCGACATCCACCCATCCATAATCTTCACCTCCAGTTGTCTCCCCCTGAAGAGTATGGCTAGGGGGAAAAAAGGTTCGTCTTCGGAGAAGGTCACGTCCATGGTGACATATACATGTCTAGTAGAGGGATGATAACATCTATACCCATTTTGTTAAGGACTAAAGCCAATGAAAACACATCACACCGCAGAAGGATCAAGCTTGCTTCTTTGATTTTGTGAAGATGGACATATGCCACACAACCAAAAACTCGGGGTTTGAGATGAAGAGTGGAAGGGAGCAAAACATGATTAGCAAGCACGACCAAGGGCATTCTAAAAGAGAGAACACGAGATGGCAGTCGATTCATAAGATAAATAGCATAGGTGACTGCATCAGCCCAATATGTCTGGGGTGCACAGCTACCAATAAGAAGAGCACAGGTAATCTTAAGGATGTGTCGATTTTTTCGTTTGGCAACTCCATTTTGCTGTGGAGCTTAAGGACACGTAGTTTCATGAAGAATGCCATCACCACCGTTGTCTGACCGAAGCACTTTAATAGGGAGTGAATATTGAGTGTAGACCATGTGATAAAACATTTTGAAGATGGCACCGCATCGCTTTTATATTTCATGAGGTACAACCAAGTCATTCTAGTGCAGTCATTAACAAATGTTACAAACCAACGCACACCATGCTGAGTAGTAACCGGAGATGGCCCCCACACATCAGAATGAATTAACTTAAACAAAATTGTTCTCTAAGTCAAACTTGGAGAATAAAAAGCTTGATGACTTTTAGCTAATGTGCAAACATTACACTTTAATGAAGAATCTGGAATATTACGAAATAATGACGGAAGTAATTTTCGTAAATAACCAAAAGAAGCATGACCAAGACGACGATGCCATAACTGAACAGTCTTCAACCTTTCAGTATTACGACCTTGAACTTGATGTACACATCCTTGTGCAACATCATCAACATAGTACAACCCTCTCCGTTTAGTACCACGCCCAATAATTGCCTGAGTTTGGATATCTTGAAGTAAACACAAAGATGGAAACATGAGCCCAACACAGTCTAATTGTTCAATGACTTGTCCCACAGATAACAAATGGCTAGAGAGTGAGGGTAAGCAGTTGTGTAGGGAAAGAGTAGAAGTGAGTGCTATTGAACCTGCCCCTGTAACTGGAGCAATACCGCCATTAGTAGTGACAATACTATCTTGTGGTGGTTATGTTGTCGAATTAAAAAGAGTACAATCATAAGTTATATGATCAATGGCTTTGGAGTCAATAATCCAACATGTATTAAGAGGAACGGATGCAATTAAGGCGGAGCCTGTGTTACCTAGATCGTCAAATTGGTCTTGAGAATTAATTAAATTTAACAGGGAGAACTCCGGGCCCAAATTTTCTGAGTCTGAAAAAACTGGGCTACTGTCCGTGGATGGCCCAACTGGGCCTGCACCCACCTGTTTGTTCCTATCCGTACAAGATTGCTGCTTTATTGGATATTGGGTTCTAGGTTCTGCCCCAGCCCGCTGGAGATCACTACCGTATGGCCTGCTGGAGAATTCATTCAAGGCAGGCGCGGAATCCGAAGAGGGAATCATGACTTTGGTTGTGTGCCATGGAAGAAGACTTGATGGTACTTGTAGGCATCTAGGATGCCGTCGTCTCTTGCTTCAAGACGTTTGGCTTTGGGTTTTTTAGGTTTGATGTTTGGTTGACCTTTGTTCGGTCAATGGGATAAGCTAAGAAGATTGTTCCCGTTAGCGGTGTCTCTTGCTTCGAGACACTGCTGAAAAAAAATCTTTTGGTTTTTTCAGAGTTTTGCAGATGCCAAGTTTGCTTCTGTACCTGCTCTGATACTTAAAATTAGTTTTAGGATTTTAATATCTTTTTTTCTTATTCTTCTCTCTCTTGGAGGTAATATATATACTATCATATCTCTTGTAGTACAAGTAAGTTAATGACTCTAAACAAACTAGGAAATACAATTATAATGATTATATTCCTAATTAAACTAGGGCTCACGCTAACAGTAACTGCTCCTTTTTACGTGTGGAGAGAGAGAGAGAGAGAGAGAGAGAGAGAGATGACCTGGGAGAGCCACTTAGTAGGATAAGGTGCTGGAAGAGTTGTGGTCTTTGAACAGAAGCGATACATCCAACCATGGCAGCCATGGAGCCCAAATATACAGTCCTTTTAACATTGAGATGATCAAGAAGGCAGAGCAGGTCTTCTGCGTAAGCACTGAAGTTCGAGTACCTTTTCGGATCATAGAGTTTGGGATCAACATTTGGAGAGTAAACCGAGTCAAAAACCACAACCTTGAAGTAGCATGCAAGAAACGGGATGAGGAAGTGCCAAATTGTCTGGTCTGCACCAAACCCATGAGCAAGAACCAACGTCTGAGTTTCATTTCCGTACACATGAGTGGTTAGGGCTTGGACAATGCCTCCTCCATGGCACATGGCTTCCATCTCTATAACTAAAAATGCAATAGTGAGTGAAGGGATTGTATATATATGTTTACATACTATAGATTATTATGATGACATCTCTATAACTTTGAATTATTTGGGTTTTGGATATTGTTTGCATAAATATATACGTCCGGAAATGATATCACACGTTTTTTTTTCTCTCATGCAAATATGTGTATTTCTAGTCTTTGAATCGAAAATAAAACCAAAAAAAATGACAAAAATAAACAAGATTGCAAATGGAGAAAGAAAAAATGTGCAAAAGTTATTTCTCTTCAAATTAGTGTACTTAATAAGATAATCAAGGTATGTGTCACATTTTAATTCCGTAAGTATATGTTTCAATATTAGCAATATTAACTCCCTTCCAACTTTTTTGACGCCATATATTAATTTTTAATAAGATTTTGTGGTGCAACTGCAACCAATATGAAAACATAAACGCTTATATATTCAAATTTATGCATGTTTATCAGTAGATTTTATATGTGATGTGGTAATTCTTAGAGAGAAAGAGAGAGCTCGTGGACTTATTAGCATATATTTGCAGTCACGCACGTTATGGGAAAAAATGTGTACGTAATACATATTGAAAGTTCCCTTCAACTCGTAAGAAAAAACTGCTGAAAAGTTTTGTGCTTGCATCTGTCCATCTTCTTCTCAGGATGCTCATGCTGCATGCATGTGTCAAAAAAGATATATCTACGTACGTAAAAGGTATAGAAAATTTACAATTAAACTGAATATCTTTCTGCTAGAGTTTGGATTTCGATTTCATGTGTAATGGTAATATAATATATTAAAATTGTAAATTATAAGGTGTGAGTTGTTGCAGGGCACGACATCGATGCAGTTGGATATCTCAATTCTTGTGGACAAAATAAAAGCTTGCTTAAATGCAATTCAACAAATTTACCGTCCATAAAGTTATTGTGGTTGTTGTGTTTGTATACGCTTTTTGGAGAGATTTTACAGTGTGTCGAGAATACGTTTCGGTATACTAAGTGTAATGATACAATTGATTGTTGATTGGAATTTTTTTTAAAGTTTTTAATTAATTGTAGTATCACACTTGGTGTACCACATCATGTTCCTGGCACCTAAAAAATTTCTCCGCTTTTTGAATTGAATGATGAATATAATTTTGTTTCGTTTGTGTCGATTGGATAAGATGCAATCATGCAAGAGGCTGTTCTACAATTTATATATGTCCCCATTTAATAGCTTAGGTGCAAGAAAGAAGGAAAAATTAGAAATTTCTACATCTTTTTTATAGTTGTTAGATTAAATATTTATCCATTTTAAAGATTTGATTAAGGTGCTTTGATCAATTGCCACCTTAATAATTTTTGATTTATTTAATTTCCATGTCATTAATTTAAATGCATTTATATAGAGGCATAAGGTAGCTTAGCAACTAATTGCCTATAATATAGCAATTTAATTTCGTCAATCCCCTTGTACACGTTAAATGACATTTTTTTAACAAAATAAAATAAAAAATTAATTAACTAATTCCTCATTACCTTATTATCAGTATTTAAAAAAAAAAAAAAAATCTCTTTCTATTAAAAATGTCTCAATAAAAAGTCTTCAATACATATTTTTTCACGTATAGATATATAAAAAATATACTTAAAACTTATGATACATTTGAGAACAAAAGTATTGACTTTTTGTACGTTTAGATTTCAAATGTACCGAGAAACCAAATGTACCAAAAATTCAAATGTACCATAAAACCAAATGTACCCATTGTTATGTAACCCTTTTGATACGTTTAAATTTCAAATGTACAAAGAAACCAAATGTACCAAAATTTCAAATGTACCATAAAACCAAATGTGCCCATTGTCAGGTAACCCTTTTGGTAAGTTTAGATTCCAAATGTACCAAAAGACCAAATGAACAAAAAAATCACAAATGTACAACAAAACCAAATGTCTCTATCAGATAAACCTTTTGGCACATTTACATTCCAAATGTACCGAGGAATACAAAAAATCAAATACACTATAAAACTAAATGTGTCCATATTATAGGTAAATAGACGTAGCTATATAATCAAACAAATCTTTATTATGTGTTGGGCCTTCTAAAAAATAAAATTTGACAATTTTTTTTTATAAATATTCTACTATATTCACACACAAAAAAAAAGTAAAATTATAACAAACAATAAAAAAATGCACAGAGATGGATAATAAATGCATAAATATAGGGATAAGAGGGGAAAAAACAAAAACAAAATGTCTAGGAAAAGTTGTGAAAAACTAAAATTCTAAACAAAATTGAACTTATGTGAAAAACTGAAATTAATAACCAAAATTTTAGGAAAATGTTTGATCAAATTTTCAAAAGGAGTGTATGTTTAGTCTAAAAAAAATAAAAAATGAGGCCTTATATCAAAACGCCCCAAGAAAGAAACATCTACCTTCTTCATCTTTCATACCCATATATGACATATTTGACATTTCAATAGGTAAATGAGTTGGGCCACCATTGTTTGATGAGTAACGGCATAAGTATAGGAGTAGGTAAATTATACATTTTTTGTTGAAGAATGTAATTCTACAATTAAAAAACGTGACATGATATATTACTACTTATAGATGAATTGTTTCAAAATTAATAACATCGAGGATTTTATGATAAAATTTAAAATTTGTTAGGTTTTGCATTTGGTTAAGTTGAGATAGTGTTGGTGTGATTAATTTTTGGAAGTGAGCTTATATCAATTTGATTAGTTGTGGACATCTAACTCAACTATGAGGTCTTGACATAGTATTAGAGAGTATTCCCCCTGACCTTAACCATTCCGATTGTGAACAAGACCTTGACCTTGACGACGAATCTTCCGCAGAAAAAGGTTACCTATATGGAATTGGTTACACGTGTTACCCATTAAAAACATGGTTCAATGTGAGGGAGAATGTTGAAAAAATGCATCCTTCATAAAAAAACATATTACTATTTTGCGAATGGTATATTACTACTATGCATGTAATTAAGTTGGAACAATATCAGCGTGATCAGTTGCGGGCCGTTGAGCCAAATCTGAGATCTTGACCTACTTTAAAGTTGATAGGTATATTGATCCTTACATTCTTCTTATAATCAAAATCTCATTGGATTGTAGATGATGCCATGCACAACGGTGCTAGTTCGATCCCACCGATCTCCCTCCCTTCTAATTACTAACAATTTAAACTAATATACTTATAGTTTGTCAAAAAAAAAAAGAAAAAGTGATTGGATCCTAAAGTTATAACACTTGAGTTCGAACAATACAACTTTACCTCCTTAGTTTACATACTCCATCAAATTTAATCACATTTGCTTAATTACAATGTCACAAGACTCAAAATCAAAGGATTCTGAGAGTATCATAAGATGGAGGTTTCTTGAATAAAAGTTCCCAAGAAGACTTGGTCATATCTCTCAACCTACTCACCCTTTTCAATTCCTTCTACCTTAGTGTTTACAATCTAGGTTCTTCACCATTACCATCACACCCTCCAACCTTCTCAAATTCTGTATGTCTAACTTCACCACATTTAGAAACTATATTACAACCTGAACCTTCATCAGATCCTGCAGTTGTACTTTCTTCTACATCTGAACCTAGAGTTAGCTCTCACCCTCCTATCTCATCACATCATATCCCATCCACAAACACTCATCCCATGCAAACTAGATCCAAGTCTGGTATAGTCAAACCCAAAGCCTATGCAGCTACTAAACATGCAATTCCTTCGCATATCTCTGATGATTTCTTACCATTTACTTACTTACAGGCATCCAAACACTCTCATTGGAGATAGGCTATGCAAAAGGAATATAATGCTCTCCTAAACATTGGGACTTGGTCTATTGTTCCACATCCCTCACAGAATCTTGTGGGCTGTAAATGGGTTTTCAAAATCAAAATGAAAGTTGATGGCACTATAGATAGGTATAAAGCTACGCTGGTTGCTAAGGGATTTCACCAGCAAGAAGGTTTAGACTACACCGACACTTTCAGTCCTATTGCCAAGCCTGTTACAATTAGGTTTCTTTTTACTTTGGTTGTCCAATATCATTGGTTTCTTAACCAATTGGATGTAAGCAATGCTTTTCTCTATGGTTCACTCTCTGAGAATGTATTCATGCAACAACCACCTGGTTTTCAGGATTCCACTAAGCCTACTCATGTTTGTCAACTTCATAAGTCACTCAAACAAGCTCCCCGAGCTTGTTATGAGAAATTACAAGGTGCCCTCCACTCTTTAGGGTTTACTGGATCTTAGAATGATCATTCATTGTTTGTGAAAAAGACTCCTATTTTGGTATTTATTCTGGTCTATGTAGATGACATCTTCATCACAAGTCCATCATCTCAGGCATGTAAGGAAACCATTGCTCAACTCAGTGCCTTATTTCCCATTAAAGATCTTGGTTCTTTACATTTCTTTCTTGGCATAGAATTTAAAAGATCATCTATTGGAATTCTTATTTCTTAGATTAAGTACATTTTGGATTTACTCAAGAAAGCCAAAATGGATGGAGCAAAGCCTTATGCTACACCATTACGTACTTCAAAACTGGATCATACTTCTCATTTACTCTCTAATCTAGAGGAATATAGGTCTCTTGTGGATGGTCTACAATACTTAACATGGTCCTGACTTGATCTATCTTTTGCAGTTAATCTCGTATGTCAATATATGCACAGTCCCAGAGAATCTCATTTTCAAGCTGTTAAGAGAATACTAAGATACCTAAAGGGTTCTCTTGATTTGGGTCTATGGTTTCCAAAAACCTGTCAGTATTAATGCATTCTCTGATGCTGATTGGGCCAGCTGTGCTTTAGACAGAAGATCAACAGGTGGATATTGTATCTTTCTAGGCAATTCACTCATCAGCTGAAGTGCAGAGAAATAGACAACAGTGGCCAGATCCTCCACTGAAGCTGAATACAGGTCCTTAGCCAATACTGCAGCTGAAATTACTTGGTTATGTAAGCTTCTTGTTGATGTTAACCTGGTTCTTCCTTGTTCTTCCAAATTGTGGTGTGATAATATCTCAGCTATCTCTTTAGCTAAAAATCCTATCTTCCATGCTAGAACTAAGCATGTCGAAATTGACTACCACTATATAAGGGAGAAAGTTCTTTCAAATGGTGTCTCAGTTCAATTTATCTGTTCACAGGATCAAGTTGCAGATATATGTACAAAGTCCCTGCCTAAACCTAGATTTCTGCTTCTTAGAACCAAACTATCTTTTCAGTTCCCTCAACTCAGTTTAAGGGGGGGGGGGATATTAAGGATAATAGTGTAAAAGATAAAACTTAGAAGTGTCAATTTGTAAATACTTCTATAGTCTGTTATAGTTTGTTATTTAGGCAGTTAAGATATGTTGTAAGCGAGCTGTCAAATCATCTGTATGATGAGATGTGTATAAATACCTTTATTTGTAATCTTATCAGAAATCAATGTGAAGATAATTTTCCTATCATAACCTTTTGTTCTTAATTAGCATAAGCTATATCAAAGTAATATGAGAGAAGAAAAAAATACTATTGTATTAATGGATATTGTAACAAAAAGGGAATGCGCAAATGAATAAGGGAAATGATAAACACACTCTTTTTAGCTTCTCACACACTCTTGTTTGATCTTGTCCATTGTTTCCGATTAATTTATTTTATCCGACAACCATAATTAAAGAGCGCTGTGTGAGAAGCTAAAAAAATTGAAAATCACATCCCACTAATAACTTTGTTGCACACGGTAACAGGTAGGCCAACACAGAGTTCAGGGTTTATGATGATGTTGTGTGCCCCAAAGTTAATTAAGCATTCGGAGGAGTTCTAAAATGGGTCATAATTAGGATCAACAGCCCCCAAAACAATGCATTAGGGTTTCAAATCCTGATGTGGTAAAAGCTTAAATTATGATCAGTTCGAAAACGTTCATGGTCCATTGGACTTATTTGTTTTGGCCGAAAGTGCTTTCAGATAAACAAAATTGAGAATTTACATAAAACGTGGTAGGTGATCTTTAAGTTTTCTTACAAGAAAGGGAGGTGATCATTTTGGCACTCCATCTTTCCACACCAGCACGCCTCTTGTTTTTGAAGTGATTGAACATAAAATCACAGTGTATTAGCAACATGAAATTCCTTAATTAGAATTCGATTAATTATCACACAAAACACAACTGAGAACTTAGACTTCGATCGATTACCAGTCGAGTAAAAATAGGCTCTGACAATAAGCATCAACATAGTGAAAGTAACTCGACTCCGTTCTAATTCCAGTATCTTTAACTCGACTCCGTTCTGATTCCAGTATCTTTAACTTGGTGTGACTCGGGATCATACAAAACAAGCTTTGGTTTTCTTCCATCTTGAATCATGTGAACTTTGCCAAGATTTGTTCTAATTCCCAATGGCTATGCTACAAATCTAGTACCATCAGGAAAATAAATCGTCCGGATCACTTTCCAAGCATCGGCTTCCAGAACCCATATATCGATACACGAATTCTTCAAAGCATGACCAGGTCTTGTATGGAACAAAGAGACTGATTTCTCAAACACTCCAACACAAATATGTTCTATAAATTAATTCGGGTAATAGCACAATCTTTCGAGAAACCTCACTGCCCAAATCGAAAGCAAGGATGGAAGTGCGAGAATGCTCCGTTATAATCCAATACACAACTCCATCAAAGAAGGTACATCTAGATTGCCAAGAAATGACAATATTTGTAAAAGAAGGCATTGTTGGAATCCCACATCGGCGGGGTGAAAAAGAAAATAATGGGTTTAAATATGATTGCCCCACTCTAACTAATATCGAGGCATTTTGTGATAAAACCCCACACTAGATAGATTGGGTAGGTGGTAAAGTTGAGAATATTATCGGTGTTGTTAAAATGGGGTCTCAGGGGTGCGCCGATCCAAAAATCCAACATGGTACCCGAACCAGGTTCGGGCCCATGCAAGCCAACGAGCTTCCAGGACTCTTAACATAGAGCCGGCCTCAATTTTCCATTGAAAACAAGTATGGACTCTTAACATAGAGCCGCCGTGTGGATCTCCACGTGTGAACCACACATAGAGTCGACCTTTGAGTTTCAATTGTCGTTGTGTGAATCTCCACGTGTGAACCACTAAATGGGGTGAAGGGTGAAGGGCAGTGTTCAAATCCCACATTGGTGGGTGAAAAAAAAACTATGGGTTTAAATATAATTATCCCACTCTAACTAATATCGAGGCCTTTTATGGTAAAACCCCACACCTGACGGATTGGGCATGTGGTAAAGTTGGGGACAGTATTGATGTTGTTTCCAACATGCATCACAGTCGACCTTTGAGTTTCAATTGTCGTTGTGTGAATCTCCACGTGTGAACCACTAAATGGGGTGAAGGGTGAAGGGCAGTGTTCAAATCCCACATTGGTGGGTGAAAAAAAAACTATGGGTTTAAATATAATTATCCCACTCTAACTAATATCGAGGTCTTTTATGGTAAAACCCCACACCTGACAGATTGGGCATGTGGTAAAGTTGGGGACAGTATTGGTGTTGTTTCCAACATGCATCACAGTTATTCTTCTCCAAGCATCTGATCTAAGGCTGTAAACCTCAACTTCAAGTTCAAGGACGATATTCTCGTGTGGAAGCGAAACCCTAACAAGCCTCACAACCTTATAGTTGTTTTCCCCGCTATGAAACCAAAACCATTAACAAAATGGCTTGTGTGCTGAACGAGGCCATTAGCAGGAAGCCTTTTGAGTTTTTTGATTGACGGATTGGGCAGGTGGTAAAGTTGGGGTCAGTATTGGTGTCGTTTCCAACAGGCATCACAATTATCCTTCTCCAAGCATCTGATCTAAGGCTGTAAACCTCAACTTCAAGGACGACATTCTCACATGGAAGCAAAACCTTAACAAGCCTCACAGCCTTATAGTCGTTTTCCCCGCTATGAAACCATTAACAAAATGGCTTGTGTGCTAAACGAGGCCATTAGGAATCCTCTTGAGTTTTCTAATTGAGGGATTCCATAGATATATAGGATTATTATTCAAACTAAAGAAATTATAAAAAGAGATACAAACCAATCCTTTGCACGAACCTTGAACAAAGAATCTGAGACCTAATTTATCCGCAGGAAGCTCTATATCCAAACACTTGGACAATGTTTCATCATCAAACCGTGACAAACAATTTTTCTTGTCATCTTTTTGGATAAGGAGAAAATCACAAGAACTTTGCATGACGTTCCTTTCGAGATGGGCACTTTCGAAACTAGAGCTGCTAATTAAACTTTTCCAAGATTTACAAACGCATCTAAACAGCAAAAGATATCTCACTGGCAATCTTGCAAGGATATCAAACAAGATTTCTTTGGGTATATTTGTTGTGCGGAAGCTTCAAATATGAAACCAAAGCTAATACGGCAAAATATGACAAGACAAATAATCCAAAAAGACACAAGGATTTATACTGGTTCGGCGTAAGCCTACATCCAGTTTCGAGACGGCGAGGAAATTCCACTAATATCAAAAGGAGATTACAAATAGAGTTTTAACTCTCAAACCCAAATCCCACTTACAACCAATAGCTCTCACTCAAACTAAGAAACAAATGGAGAAGAAGAAACACATATCAAAATCCTTCTCTCCCAAAAGCTACACAAGTAGCACCAACATCTTTGATTGAGTGATTACTAACAAAATGGGATTATTACAAATGGTGGGAAGGAGCAGCTCATATTCAAATGGGAGAGCCGAATGCTCTCCCTGGTTTCTCTCATCTGCCGCTCCCCCACACCCAAAGGCATAACCAAAGCCTTAATATAAAATGTTCAACTTTTTCCCATGGGAGAGCCGAATGCTCTCCCCTTGGATGCTTCTTTATGCTTTCTGCCCACTGCTCTCTGCCAAAGCACATGGGGTGCCCAGTTTCAAAGAGAAGCCGAAAGCACCACCTATAGCCAAACAAAGGAACAAACATTCAACAAACAACATGATGCTTCCTCATCATGATGTTCCTTCATTATTTTCTTATTTCTTGCTTTCGGCTACTTTAACAAATGCAGCAGTTGCTGCCAATTAAAACAATAGGAAAACCACCCCGTGGCTTTCACATGGACCAAATAAACAAAACAACTTAAAGGGCAATTGGGTCAATAAGTGGACCACCACAATTTGGCCACCAATCCAACAATATTGTGATTAAACATACTGAAAAAAAACTACTTAATTAGATATCTAACAATTAAAGCGTGCCTGATATACAATATTTTGACGATGGAATGCAAAAGAGAAGGCTGGGAGCGATTACTTGGTGCAAAGCTGTAGAAGGTTAAAAGAAGGGTTTTAAAGGGTGGTTTTGGAAATTCAAATAATTAAATTAATTGAATTCGTTGATATATATTAACTTCATGCATCCAACAAAACTCTTAAGCTCCAAGGATTAGGATTACTTACAATTAATTACAATACTTGTGAAACAAGGAATCCTAATTAGGGTTGTCTTATATATTAAAACCTCATGAAAGTCACTATATCAAACCTTGTCATTTTTGTGGTCATTGTAGCAAACCTGTGACTGTGAGTTAACGCGTCATCGGTGTTGGAGCCGATGCATAATTCACAGAAAGAAATTGCATGAAGCTCACAAACTTTTGGTACCTTCAAAGGAAAGCAAAGAATTTCATAAGGCAGTGCTTCCGGAAAAGAATGAAATTTACCCAAGATTTTATTTACCCTGCAGCCCAAACGAACAGGCACATCTACCCATATACAGAATGAATTCTCACTTCTTGTTCTCTGCGTATAAATACGTGTACGGTACAAAGAAAATTGCAGAAGCTGTTACATAGGGCAAAAGGCAGTTTCATCCATGTTGCACACTTGCATCTCCAGGGCAGCAGTTACCCTGCTCACTGAGTTACCTGAAAAAAATGTGAATCCAAGATTTTACCCTTCATCGGCATGATCGTTAGCTCTGTGGTATTAGCAGTTGCGAATTGAGATCTTGCAACAAGGTCATTCGAATGTGCACGGTCGCCACCCGCCTGTTAGCTTCCTCAGTTGGAGGCTTGAATACCAACTTCCACCTCGCGATCAAAAGAAAATGAACGTTTAGTGTAGGGCATAATGAACCTGCTCGAGGAGTTGAACAAGCTGATTAACAGGGACTGGTAAAAACCGTGATTTCAAAGAGGGCATAATGAACACTCTTCCTCTGAGACAGCCATTGATGCATGATGGCGAAGGTTATGAGGTTTCTGTTTGCTTCTCGGGAAAACTCAACCCTCTCTGGTTGTCCGACAACTTGAAGTCAGGAGTATGTCATGGTATGCAAACGCCCCGGGTGTCTCCGGAGACTGAAGGAGAATTAATTAATTAATCAACTAATTCTTTTTCAAATGATTTTATAATTCATTTGTATTTTTGGAAGATAATTCATTTGTTAGCTAGAGGTAAATATATAGTTTGATACCTAATTATTGTCGTTTGATATGTAATTGCATGCTTCGCATGATGAGTGCATAAGAGTTCACAAAATATTCTGTATTGAATGCAGAGTAAGATAGGTAAAAAATGTGTGCCCGAATCACTATTTCTTATTATTAGCGGTACAATTTTGAAATCACTATTGCTCGTGATGCCATTCTTTTAGGCTCTATTTGTATCAATTGCCCTCGAGATTTTGTTGTTGAATGTAGTTTTTTGTCTTAAAAATAAAAGTAATTGACAATTTTTCTTGGAAGTCTCTATCTGTCATTATGTTTGTTAATAGAAAAGAAAATTTATGGAAACCATTCCATTATGTTTATCCATTGATTTTCAATTCAATTGATCTGATAGTCGAAAATTGAAAAGATTGTGTAAGAAGTAAAAATAGTTGTATGGATCTCACTACCCATTTTGGAGTGTTTAGAAAAATTGTGACATTTCATGCAACATAAGCGTTACCCAATTTTCTTTTAGGAAAACTAATGAAAATGACTTGAAAAGTTTTAGTTTTAATAAAAAACCATGTTGTAAGTTTTGTTTAATGATTAGTACAAGGCACATATTAAAGTAGTCCAACTAAAAATGGTCCAACTATAATAAATTATGATTTGTCGATTTTACTCCTAACTTTTTTAGGTTGAGTTCCAGATTTTCGTCATTAATGAAGTTCATCGTTGTTTTGCAAACCGTCTTCTTTTTCTTTGAAACAAAAACATAGATCCTCATGCTATTTAATTTATATTTTGTATTATTTCGTTGAAATGTAATTGTCGTTATTATTCATAGTGTATTCGAGGTACTGTTTTTCAATTTTTCATCGTCAATGGAGTTCCTCGTTTGTTTCTCCAAAAAATAAATTTGAGATATGTATGCTATTTAATAATAATGACAGGTCACTGTTTCTCGACTGTAAAAATAAATTGTTTCTGGATTTTAAGTAACACTGTTTCTGGAATCTAAGTCATTGTTTCTAGAATTTAAGTTACTGTTTCTGGAATATATGTCACCATTTCTGGATCCAAATGAAATAGACACACTGTTTCTTAAATGTAAGCTAGAAAAGAAATAGTGAAATTCACTATATTTGGATTCAAAGTAAAATAAGCACCATATTTCTTAAATATAATCAATTGATGTATGAAAGAAAAGAAACAGTCAAAGGTTAAAACATAGACTGTTTCTGCAATCTAAGTCACTGTTTCTGAAATTTAAGTCACTGTTTTTGGAATTTAAGTCACTGTTTCTAGATTTTGGTTCTTTTCTTTCTAGATACACTGTTTGTTTGTGCACAGACAAAACAAACACTGTATCTGATTTTTTTTTTTTTTTTCCAGAAACAGTTTTATGTTTTGGTTTTTTTTTTTTTGCTGGTTTCTACTATTAAACTTCTTTGAACTTGTTTAGAAGGCTTTGTTCCTATGAATGCTTCCTTTTTCAACTCTAATTTGAACTTTGATTTGATTGTTTTTGAAATGGGGGAATTCGATTTCATAGGAAGACATGGAGTTATTATGGGAGTTTCGTGCTGGGTTGAGGTTGGTGAAAAGTCAAGACAATATCAAATCATTTAGGGGTATTTACGGAAGTGTAGATTTGTAGTGGGTTGGGCTTGTAAGTTTGACCCGTGGACTATTTTGGATGATTTTTTTTTTTAAACTTTGAGCCCTTTTAGTTAAATAACATTTTGGGATGATTTTTGGTTAAATATTTGTTGACCCAAACCCTTTTTATTAAAGCTCCCATTTCTTTTTCTGTCTAGGACAACTAGCGTTCTACTATTGATCACATGTCGATGGTTCCGTTCCATAGCCGGACAACTAGTGGCAGCGTTCCATAGCCGGAGAACAAGTTCGTGGAGGCGGACTGGCGGTGCATCATTTTCGTCTTCATGATTACTACCCAGTCCACATATCCACTTCTACACATTAATCGGACTTTGTTCTTGATAAAATATGAACCTGCTAGGGTTTCGTGGGTTCTAGGGTTTAAGCCATGAGAGAGAAATATTGAAGATGGTTTTGTATATTTGCTTAATGAAACAATTACAAGATGAAACATATATATAGGGAAGAAAAAGAACATAAGCCTAATTTTGCCTAACTTACCTATCTTGCTTGACTAACCTAACTTGCCTAACTTTGAACAAGAAAATTGACTAGCCTACCATTATTCCAACATGTTTATTTCATGCATTTTAATTGCTTAATACTCCCCCTCAAGGTGGAATGTGAATGTCAATCACACCCATCTTGCCAAGTAATGAGTGAAACATCCCTTGTCCAAGCGGCTTGGTAAATATATCAGCCAACTGTGCTCCAGTACGAACGTAGGCTGTCGTGATAACCCCTAATTGAATACGTTCACGAACAACATGGCAATCGATTTCTATGTGTTTGGTACGCTCGTGGAACACGGGATTGGCTGCTATATGAAGAGCCGCTTGATTGTCACAATGCAGTTTTGCTGGCACATGATGATCAACTCGTAAGTCAGCCAACAAGTATTTCATCCATGTAAGCTCACACGTCGCAGAGGCCATGGCACGATACTCTGCTTCTGCTGAAGATCGAGAAACGGTGGTTTGTTTCTTAGTCTTCCAAGATACCAATGCTCCTCCAAGGAATATGCAATAACCCGTGACAGATCTCCTTGTAATTGAACATCAAGCCCAATCGGCATCACAATATCCAGCCAAGATTAGGTCCCCCTTTGAAGGAAATAGAAGTCCTTGTCCAGGTGCCCCTTTCAAGTATCGCAAGAGACGATGGACTGCATCTAAATGTGGTTTTCTTGGTTGTTGCATGTATTGGCTGAGTACATGAACTGCATATGAAATTTCCGATCTAGTGATAGTAAGGTAAATAAGTTTACCAACAAGTCTCCTATACTTCGAGGCATCATGAAGAACTTGCCCTTCCGTTGGAGATAACTTCAAATTTTCTTCCATGGGAAATTTTGCAGGTTTGGCACCCAGTAAGCCGGCTTCATCAAGAATGTCAAGCGTGTATTTCCGTTGTGAGATAGAAATACCTTGAGAAGACCTAGCCACCTCTACGCCGAGAAAGTATTTTAATGGTCCCAGATCCTTGATTCGAAACTGAGTGTGAAGAAACTGTTTGAGATCACGAATGGCCTCTTCATCATTGCCTGTGATGATCATGTCATCGACGTATATTAGTATAGCTGTGAATGAGTGATCACGTACCTTGGTGAACAAGGAATAATCGGCCTTGGATTGTTGATACCCAGCTTGGTGTATAGCAGTGGAAAATTTGTGAAACCAGCTTCGAGAGGCTTGTTTAAGCCCGTAAAGTGACTTGTTGAGTCGGCATACATTGTGCTCCCCCTGACGACGAAGACCAGGAGGCAGTTGCATATAGACTTCTTCCCCAAGATCTCCATGGAGGAAGGCATTTTGAACATCCATTTGGTGGAGAGACCAATGACGAACAGAAGCTACGGCCAAAAGACATCGGACGGTAATAAGTTTGGCAACTGGGGCGAAAGTCTCTTTATAATCGATACCTTCACGTTGTGTAAAACCCTTGGCAACAAGGCGAGCTTTATAACGCTCGACAGACCCATCTGAATGATACTTGACCTTGTAAACCCATTTGCA